AGCTCTTTAGAGCAGTGCCCATTATAGTATTTGTAGAAAAGAGAAAGAGAAGCAACATTACGACGATGTGACAAAGGTTGGAGATTGGCTGCCAGAGCAGGTCCAACTATGTTTACAATTCGTTTTTGCACCTTGTCTAAAAGAGAAAGAGCATCATTAGAAGATCCGCCCCAGATGTGGCAACAGTATTCCATACAGGGACGGATTTGAGATTTATAGAGATAGAGAATAGAATCTGGAGTAAGAAAGTGTCGAGCTCGATAAAGAGATGCAACCTTAGCAGATGCTAATTTTGCAATGGATTTGATATACGGTTTAAAAGAAAGATCAGAAGTAAGAGTTAATCCTAGAAGATGAATGGTAGATGACTCATCTAGTACATTACCATTCATAAATATAGGAAGATCTAAATTATTACGATAACGATTGGCCGAATAAAATTGAGTTTTATCTAAATTAAAGTTCACCAGCCACTGTGAACCCCATGCTGTAGCAGAAGTGAGATCCTTTTCAAGCTCAGATACCCCCTCCAAGCAATCAGAGAGTGTAGGCTTCTTATCATGACAAGAGTAAATGGTAGTGTCGTCAGCGAATAATGCCACCTTAGATGTGAGAATATCTGGAAGATCGTTAATGTAAATTAAAAAGAGTATAGGGCCAAGGATTGAACCTTGAGGAACCCCTGAAGTTACAGGATGTGAAGAAGAGTGTTGTCCATCAAGGACAACTTTTATACTACGATTGGAAAGAAAGGACTCAATAATCTTAAAGACGTTACCAGCTACACCATAAGAAGAAAGCTTATGAAAAAGACCAGCATGCCAAACTTTATCAAAAGCTTTAGAAATGTCAAGTGCGATAGCCTTAACCTCTCCACCTCTATCTAATGCACGGTAAAACCTATCGGTTATTACTGTTAGCACATCAGCTGTAGAACGTGAAGACCGAAATCCATATTGATGATCGGAAAGTAAGTTATTTGATTCAAGATGAGAGATTAAGTGTTTGTTGATTAAAGATTCAAAAACTTTGCTTATGACAGGAAGAAGACTAATGGGGCGGTAGTTAGATGAATCAGATCGCTCTCCAGAATTTTTGAAAATAGGGATAACAGATGCTGCTTTATAGCATGATGGAAAACAAGACTCTGATAAGCACTTGTTAAATAGTTTAGAAAGTATGGATGAAAGCTCCGGAGAACACCTCTGCAAGACTACAACAGGAATGTTGTCAGGACCACAAGCTGTTGAAGAGTCTAAGCAGGAAATTACTTTAGATACAGAAGCTGAAGTGATGCGAATGTCAAGCAAGGGATCAACCTGTTTGAAGGCTATGTCAGGTAAAACGCAACTAGTGGAATCAAGAGATGATATTGATGAAAAGTTCTTTGCAAACAATTCAGCTTTGTCTTTAGGTGAGGTGACAAATTCTGAACCATACAAGAGAGAAGGAATAACAGATTTGCCCTTATTATTGATACTGTTAAAGATTCTCCAGAAGTCTCGAGAGCCTAATTTTTGTGATGAGATACGAGATTTAATGACCTGGGAATAGCGAGCTTTGGCGTCAGACAAAACCTTTTAACAATGGTTTCTAGCGATAGTGAACAGATGTCTGTTTTCTGGAGAATTGTTTTGCTGATAGATATGGAAGTAACGGTTTCGATTAGAAATTGCTGCAGCGCAATGTGAGGAAAACCAAGGAGAAGAGTGAGGCTTGACCTGGAATCGTCGAGAGGGAATAAAAGATTCCATGCCAGCCTGAATCCACGAAGTTATGTAAGAAGCACATTTGTCAGCAGGAAGACGAAAGATTTCTACCCAAGGGCCATCACGAAGAAAATCACGGAAAGAGTCCCAGTCAGCTTTAAGGTAGTTGTGTGTGGTACGATGATAGGGGGATTCTGATGAAGTAGAAGAATTTGATAATAGTTTTAGAGAGATCAAACCGTGATCAGAAGTACCTAAGGGTGAATGTGGAGAAATTGAGCACTGACTAGGATCCAAAACAAGACATAAGTCGAGTAGAGAAGGTAAATGATTAGAGTTGTCTGGAAAACGAGTTGGAAAGTTGACTATTTGAGTTAGAGATTGAGAAAGGCAAAAGTTGAGGGCCTTAACGCCAGCAGAGTCACTGACACTAGAGCCAAGCCAATCGGTGTGATGGGCATTAAAGTCACCAACAACGACGATATTGGCCGATGGATAAAGAGAGAGGGCTTGGTCAATTTGATCAGAAATAACATCAAGAATAGTGCAATCTTGGGATGAAGGAGAGCGATATAGAACAAAGAGAAAGGCCATAGAGTGAAGTTGTGCTAAACGAAAGCACATAAATGAATAGTCTGGAGATTCAAACCTAGTTTCACGACAAATGGGTGAGTTCTTACGAATGTAGATGCCCAGGCCAAGCATGTGATTATTGGAGTCTTTACGAATTAAAGGAAGATAACCATCAACACTAAGATCACAAGATGGAACAGCCGAACTCAAATTAGTCTCACAAAGAGCAAGTAGGTCTGGTGAACTTTGCAAGAGATAAGACTCAACAGAAGAAAAGTTACTTCGAAGACCACGAATATTAGTAAATGATAGGTTTAGAGAATATATATATATATATATATATATATATATATATATATATATATATATATATATATATATATATATATATATTTTTATTTTTTCTTTTTTGTATGCTTTTGTTAGTTATTAAATTTTTATTAGTTATTAACAGCTAAATAATTTTAATAATAATATAAAAATTAGACTAGACGATAAAAGATATTTTTGCTGTAAAAAGCTATAAATACCCTAATGATTTCTAAGTCTATTGGTTGAGCCTTTGAGGTTTTGTTCGACGCTAGAAAAAGTAATTCAATTGCTTTGAAGTTATTAACATTTGGATGAGCTAGGAACTTTTTTTTTAAGAGTAAAACGGCTTTTCTACCATCAGCGTGGAACTTAATTTTGTTCTGAAAAGTAGACTTTAGACACTTTTGAAACATGGTTAATTTTTCTGACTTTCTTATTAACTTTCTACATTTTCAATTAAATTTGTTAAACGAGCTTAGCTATATTTTTACCACTCTCCATTGTTAAAAACATATGAAAAAATCAATCCAACTCACCAATGTTATATATATACCTGAATTCATACTTTGAGAGGATAGTGGGCAAGTGCGTTGGATCCCAATTTTCTACCATTTTCTCTGAGCGCAACAAATTTTTTTTTAGTTTAAGATATAGTTTTTTTGTTAAAAACAAATAAAAAACTTTAACAAATTTGCTGTGGGCACAGAATATTTATAAACGTCCCCTCCTGCGTATTAAGGATACGAGAGTAAGGAAATAAGTATTACTTATATAAAAAAAAATCTGCTTTATTAATACCATGCTAAATATTTATGTGGATGTATGTTCATAATCTCGATCAAAAAGGACGAGGCGCGAGTAGGTGTCACGTGGGGTGGGGGTGCTATTGCAACTTTTGGCGACTAAAAAAAAGGGTCTACATTTGCCGACGAACTAGCCAAAAAGGGTCAAATTTGCCGACTAAATGAATGAAAAAAGCATTGATGTCACACCCCATACACACCTCCATACCCACCAGTCGCGCCTGCCTTGAGTATTGCGCACAGAGATGCCTCCCAAAAATTGTTTAAACTGGGAAAATCTTGCAAAATCATATTTTTCCCACATTTAGTTAACATTTTGAAAATCTCTCACAGTCAAGATTTTACATAATAAGAAAACTTTCAGTGGAAGAAAGTAGCTTTAAAATAGATCAAATAAAAATAAAAGTTATCAGTAACAAATGGTAACTAAATAAACAATAGATGGTAACTAAATAAACAATAATATAGTATATTATATTTGTGTATTTACATTAAATATACTGCTAGATTATGTTTATCCAGTCAGTTAAAGTGTTTTGAGTAACACTTACCTTTTTTAAAGTTTTTTTAAGCAAGGTATTTTACTTTGATTGTAAAAGCGGTTTTCTACTGTGTAGACGCTATTTTGAAATTAAATTTGATTATCAGCAAAATGTAATAAATGTTATTGAAATACAAAAGGATTAAATTTTTGACCAATATATTTCAACAGATAAAAAAGGTTTTCATATTCAATCGGTATCAGATAATTTTATTTTAAACTGATCATAAGTGATTTTTGCAACCATGGCGCAGTGGTTAGAGCGCTTGCTTTATAAGCAGGAGATCCAGGTTCGAAACGAGCTCTGAACATATTTTCGCGTCACGGTAAGGAAGGAGGCGTGAACTTCCTGGTTAAATGAACCTCCGCGGTGCTCTGTGACAAGACCGTTAGGTCTTCTCGGGGCACCTAAATAACATAAAAAAATAAAAAAATAAAATAATTTTTATTTTTATTTTAACCGGTTATTCTTAATTTGCATTTTTTTTTTTTTTTTTTTTTTAATATTTTGCTCCATAGGCGCAGAGGAGTGTAGATACATCAGCTAGACAATCTTTGACAAAAAGTTTTTGTTGGACAGGCAGTAGATTAAAAATTTATCAAATAATAGTACAATAGGTTGAAAATTTAGCCAATCAAAGTTTACTCAAAAAAAATAGTAGTTCATGTTATATTTCGATTTAAATATAAAAATACAAAATTTGTAGGTTAAAACCAATTCATAATAATCTACGAGTTAAGAAAATTAAAAATTAAAATTATTATCGACCATTAAAAAAATATAAAACTTATTTTTCACCTTTTTATTTATGTATGATATTAAAATGTTTAGAAATTGTATTATTTTCTACATTTATTTTTCATTTTAAAAACTTTTTTAAAAATAAATCAAAAACTTGTTCAAAATTTATACTTTGTTAAGTTTTATTGCAGCTGAATAATTTAATATGTTGTTTTCAATATTCACAATTAGCGAATATAAAACTTATTTAAAATTATATTTTTTTCATCTTAATTGAATTTATAAAAAGTTGTTTAAAAACTTTAAATCAAAACAGAACAAAATTTTGTTTCAAAAGTACTTTTTACACACGTTTTAAATTTTTTGAATTGTAATGTATGCAACTATCATTTTGTGTTGAATTTTGCCAGTATCGTATATACAATTAATCTCCACAATTCGCCGATGTTGTCTTTCAAGAAAGCTATGAAAGTTATTTAAGGTACTTTAAAACGCAACTAAAGATAATGAGTGTTTTCAACGAGTCTTTTTACCTCATCAATTGTTCGAGAACTTTACTATTTGTGCCTAACGCACAAACTAATGGAAGTGTATATGTAATTATTTGTTTACTATTGATTATATCTTTTCCAGTTGTTATCATGAACGTTTATATTGTTGGAATAACCTGTTACTTCCGCAATATGCGCTCGGTTTCCAACACTTTGTTAGCCATTATATCATTTTGGGATTTATTAGTTGGAATTTTCTCAATCATTCCAATGATATTAATTTTAATATTGTCAATTTCACACGCACAAAAATGCGGTTTACTTATTTTTTCAATGTTTACAAACTTTTTGTTTGGATTAATATCGTTTCTAACAGTTTTCTTGAGCTCAATTGACCGTTACTTGGCAACTTTTAAACCGTTTTTTTACCAGAAGCACTTAAATGAAAACTCGAGATTTTACATAAAATGCGCAAGTGTTATTGCAATATTAGTTCTACTTATTATGTGCATTAGCTTTACATTAGAAAAAAAATTAAAATCACTGTTTATTATGTCAATCGCCCCAATTGTGATTATCATTGTTTTATATATTCATACTCGACTGCACATCCAAGTGAAGTTAGTCAGACGTAAGATATCATCACTAGATCCAAATTTTAACGGAAGCAACTTTAGCAAAAATAAATGTACTATAAAGAATCTCAATGCATCAACTAAGAAGGAAGTTAGAAAAAATCTAAAAATAAACAAATTTACAATAATGGTGTACGCATCGACGTGTTTTTCATATTTACCATTCGTTGTACTATTATATTTGGTGCAACTTTATAGCAACTCGCTTATTTGGAAATGGACTCGCTATTATTATTTGTGGGCATATATGTTGACATTAACTAAACCTTTAGCAAACCCAATAATTTATTTTTATCGATCTCGTATCTTGCGTAGAAGTCTAAACCGTGTTAGACAATCACTCTCCAAATCCAATCCTAATGTTGGTGAATAAATTTTGATGATGAAAAAAAAAAAAAAATATTTTTGGTTTTTAAACAATTTGTTTTTTTAATAAAACGCAAATTAGAAGATAAAATATTGTTCTACAAACGTATAGCTTAAATTTTTTTTAAAAGTAAACTTAGCTATGTTAACCACATTACAAGGTTAGAGTTACCTTGTTTTATTTCCACCTTTCAAATTTTGAGGAGACAGTATATGATAAAAATATTTGTTACTTGAGGTATTAGTTACATAACACAATCAACAAGTCAAACGTTTTATTAGGTGGAGATAGTATAAGATAATTCTATTGGTTATAAACTAAGTAATGACTTTACTTAGTGTAAGTATTGCTGTAATATTATTTGACATTAATATTTTAGTAAAGTCATGCTGACATTATAATTTTTATGATATTTTTTTTAAAAGTCAGAATTGTCAGTAATTTTTAAGTATTTTTTTTTAACTCGCGCGTTTTGTTTCGTGTAACATTGATCGGAATGTTTATGCTGTTCCATGGTTCTGTCATGGTTACTCATCATCCGTAACAATCAAAGTTTACCCGGTAAAGTCTGCCCTTTTTTTACATGATTGAAAGAAAAAGATTTAAGATAGAAAAGTAGACTTAAAAAAATTAATTAAAAAAATGAACTAATTAAATATCATTGAACAGTAGGTGAGTGAAAATTACTTTTTTTAGAAACTCTATTATTCCCCTTCATTTCTACAATAAAGATAAAAAATAAAAATAAAAAATGACAAAAATGAACAAACTTGGACAAAATTTACCCCCTTCAGCAATTTTTGGCCAAACTAGATTAATTTTTAAAATTTTTTATATTTGAAGTTAGTTATTCCAAAAATAACAATTTGTAGTATCCTTCTTATCAAATGTATTATTTCTAGTCTATTAACAGGATATTTTAAATGAATTTTATAGGGTACATTTTAAGTTTATTTATAATAGAGCAAACATTTACTTATTAGTGTTATAATGTACCTTGGTATTAAATACTGACATATTTTTCCTAGATTGCAGAAAGACACGTATACCGTACTCTTTTCATCTCATACCACCTCTTTTTATCTCGTCACAAACCGAGGCAGAAAGCCCTGTCACCATCTTTACACAACGTTCAACAGCTTGTGTCCGATTAAACTTTAAAATGTAAAAATTAACAACCTTTAAGATCCTACAAGTTTCAAGTGAGTTTCCAATAAAGCCTGAATAGTATCTAGGACCAGATATTGGTCCATCTCTAACTCCGCAAACATATAATATAGTGGAAGCTTATAGCATGTACCTATTGTAGAGGCCGTTGAAGTTTTAAATACATCAATATAATAAAACAAACCCTGTTTTCAGTGTTTACATTAGTTACATCACAGTGCAGCATTTGCAAGAAATAAAGAATGGTATTGTGTTATTTAGAAAACTGTAGAATTTAAGATTTTAATGTTCCCGTTATGTTTTTATCCAGAAAGAGGACTGCGTCCCAAGAAGTCTTCTCCAGGTTCCTCAATCAAGGATATGTGCTCCTCAATCAAAATGGTTGTCTTCTTGTAAAAAAACTTGCGTATCCAGTCTTTTCGCAATCAAAATATAACACAAAGTATTTGAAATTTACTAACTTTCAGGTTTTACCTTCCATGACTGTTCCAAAGAGGTTTTACTAGGGATAGGAAGAAGATGGGGATATATCTTTTAAAAAAATCATATAAAAATTTATAATGATAACAAAGTTATCGTTAAAATAAATAAAACAAAAAAAAAATTAGTTAAAAAAAAAAAAATTTTCGATCAAGTTTTATGTAAAGAACTAGAACAACAAATTTAAAATAAATCTAAATGAATAACCTAACAACATCCCCTACCCAGACTTTTCTTTAGGACGGCTTTGATTCCAGGCTTTGATGCATTAACGTCATATTTTGCCCAGCAAATAAATTGTGTTTTGTAATCATGTGAAATAAATCTAATATCCTCAGTACAGCAGACTCCATAGTTGCAGCAGATTCATTTAACACACAAACTTCAAAAACGTCAAAACAACATTTAAACAAAACGTCTAGTTTTGGTAAATTATCCATTTAAAATGAAATTCTGATTACCGTTTATAACAAATGTCTATATAACGTTGATATTCAAGTGTATTTTAGGAGCCTTTTATAATGTTATTTAGTCTGTTTATATATATATATATATATATATATATATATATATATATATATATATATATATATATATATATATATATATATATATATATATATATATATATATATATATATATATGCAATTTAATATATGCAGTGGTCTTTCCCATATCTATTCCATCAATTGTCTAGTAAATGAAAATAAACAAATAAAAGTTTCACTATTAAACCTCTTGGCTATAGCAAAAATAAATAACTGCTGTTACGCAATCATACTAATCATGTTACACAATCATACTAGCGTTTACAAAATGAACTTATACTGTTCAGTTGTTTACAAAACTTTGATAACTCTGTCAATAATTTCTAAAGCATTCGAATCAATAGATTTTTTGGCAAAAATACAAAGAAAAAAAATTATTTTCTAATATAAAATCATGTGAATGCTATAAATATTATAAAAAAACGCCTTTTTAGTCATTTTGACCACAGGCAACTACCTCTTACTACGCCACTGCATGCAGAGCCATATTCTAATGTTTATTTGTAAATACAAAAATAACAACACATATTTATAACTATCATCTAGTTTTTATACTTCGTCACATTTTGGTCATGGATTAAGTGAAAAAATTAAATAATATCTTATTAAATAAATAAATAACAACTTTGTTATAAGAGGTAGTATGGAAAAGTAAGTAGCTCTTTAGGACCAAAATTGTAATGTATTAGATGAAATTTGGTTTGCCATTAGGTCCTCCTACACCTGCAACATTACTATTTAATATTGTTAAAAAGTAGAATAATGATAATACCGAGGAGTACCGACACCAGCATCTACATCCATCATTACTAATATATTTTGTTAAATATCCCTTTTTATAATAGCTTTTTTTTTACTATGCCCAGGGAGAAGGATTTTTATTATTGTTAAATATAAATTAAATATAATCATATGGTTGATTAATAATAAATTGAATATTTTTATCTAATGAAACATTTCTTTTTTAATTTTATTTTGGTGCCCTAAGAAATCCTTACGGATCAAGTCAATTACCGAAATTCGCTAGAACGACGGCACTTTGACAAGTGAACCTGGTGAAGTACTTAACTCCCTCGTTTCATATTATAAAAATATTTACACAAAAACGAATTTATGCAAAGTCAACTAAAACTATGTCTTGTCCCACATCACTAAACGTTTAAGTAATGATGAAAACCAAATTCTAAGTACCCGTCTAACCGGCGTGGACATTTTCAAACTTAAAAAGTAATCCTTTTTAAGTTTGAAAACAAAAAATCTCCGGGCCATGATGGACTTCCAGCTAAATTTTACCAAAATTTTAGGCACATTTTAGAAAAAGGTTTTGAAGAACTTGTTTACGAAATGCTTTTCGTAGAAAAAAATGTCAGCCATTTTATGAAAAAATCTATATTTTCACTGATTCCCGAACAACAAGATCTGACTGAATGTAAAAATTGGAGGCCCATATCCTTAATTGGCGTTTATTACAAAATAATCACAAAAGCGCTGGCCCTAAGAATTGAAAAAATAATGGGAAAAATTATAGCTCCAAATCAAATTTGCGGAACTCCAGGTAGGAATTTAGTCCGTGATCTAATAGATTACGCAGAATTTAAAAAATTTGCCTAGTTTCATTTTGTAAATAGATCAACAAAAGGCGTTTGAGAAAGTCGACTGTGCGTTTCTGTTGCAGATTCTCCAAAAACTTAACCTCGGAGAAAAATTTGTATCCTTTGTTAACACCCTACATTCAGAAATATCAGCATCTGTTCTGAATTGTGGTTTCCTCTCATCCTCTTTCCCTACTGAAAGGTAGACAAGGCTTTCGAGATCAGAGCAGACAGCAGAATTGAGGAATCCAATACCAGGAACACCGAAACCTCTTAAACTATAGTAGTACGCAGACGATTCGAACTTTTTTTCCAGGGACGTAAAATCAGTCTGCTTTTTTTCCGAAACAATAAAACTATTTGAAAAAGCAAGTGGTTCAGTAATTGATGCCTTAAAAACAAGGGTGACGCTCTTGGGGGTTTTGATCCTAAAATGCATCCAGAATTGGACAACATAGAGTGGATTAATAACACTGGTTTTAAAATATTGAGTGTTACGTTTTACACAAGACTGAGTAATACTACCAATTTCAACTGGCTAGTAACTCTAAACAAAGTAGAGAAAAACTTCAAGTTTCTATGACTACGTACTTCGTCACTTAGGGGAAAGACTATGTGCTGCCCGTTCTAGACCGTGAGTTAGCGTGACTGTTCTAGACCGTGGGCTAGCTCTAGACCGTGGGTTAGCGTGGGAACTGTTAATGATTTATTTAATTGGATAATAGACCTTGGATGCGCAAACCGGATTCAAGATTGAATTAGAGTTTGCACCGTTGCCTGGAAATTTGATACCCTACTGTCAATATTTATTCTATTAAGTAAAGCAAAAATTGATTTTTTTGATGGTCGTCTAGGGGTATTGTGCAGTTCGTTATTTGTCTTTTTCCAGAGAGTAAAAGTTCCATTTTGACGACATTAAGCTTTATGTAGTTTAAATTGTTGTACACTTTACACGTTATAATATGTTTTTTTTAGCCCGTGAGAGTAGAACTTAGAAGAATGATGTCATCAGCATAAGCTACAACACCAGTCAGGTTTCCATATATGGAAACTTGACTGGTTTGTAGGGTACCAACAATTTTATAATTTTATTATGGTTTTGAGTAGCTTTTTAATGTATATGTTTATAGGTAGGGTAAAAGAATCAATCCTTGTCTTACTCCATGCTTAAGATCAAATAAGACTGAATTGGAACCTAGGTATGAGACAGTTGCTCTGCCGCTACGGTATAAAGAAGATATACCGTTAACTATTTGGAGAGGTAGATTTTTATCAAAACAAAGTTTATTAAAAAAAAATACCCCAGTATTGTACAGCAGCTGTCAAAAGCCTATTCAGCATCTAGTGAACATAAATAAATAGGCGAACTATTACGGTTGTAATGTTTAATTTTTTCTCTTACAACAAATTCAGCATGGAGGGTTGAGCTCTTATTATTAAAACTCAATTAAAGTTAATAAGTTTCTTTTATTTCCGGGCATATGAGTAAGATAAGGTATTCTTTAAGTTTTGCAAATATTGGAATAATGCTGATGCAGCAGTAATTGTTTGGATCGGTAAGTGATTTTTTAGAGGATTTAACTAGAGGC